GAGCCCCACTCCTGAGGGAAGAACCATTGTGGGTACATCCCTTGGCACAGAAGGACTGTTTAAGAGTGTGGTGGTTTGGGTTTAGGGGATTAAAAATTCAAGTGTAAACTAGCAAAAAAACAAATGAAGAAAGACTTTCAAAGCTGCGAAACCTTACTACTTAAGATAATGACAGAAACGTATGACTGCTTCCTCCCTGGCAGAAAGGAGCAGAGTCAGGAGGTTGAAAACAACAGGCCCTTTGTAGCAGTGTGTTGTGCTTTGCTTATTCTGTTACGAACTGGCTGGGAGATAAGAACAAACAAGACAACACCCTGTCTAACTCCAGGGGAGGGGTGGGGCAAACTGGCTGCCGTCATTCCTGGGCATGTATGTGCAGGGTGCCTACCTACAGTTGAGCTACTTAAGAAAACTCTGCATGCAGAGTCAGGAGCTAGGATAAGCATGCAAAAGGTTTTCTATTGCACAACCAATCTTTTAAGAACAAGTTGTGTGTAATAAGGGGCTTTACAGTATTTCTCTACCATGAAGAACATTGAGAATATTTGAGTAATTATTTCTCTAAACTCTTTGTCAATATTAATTTTGTTCAATAAGGAAAAAAATAACCTTAAAAACTTAGATGAGCAAACATATATGCCCAGATCCCTTCCCTGTGATCAAGAAATTACAAAAGAGCCACCAGGTAAAGACAATGGGGCCATTGGGATCATCTTTCTCCCCTGGCACAGGGGTAGTCTCTAGTCTGGGTACTAGGTGCTGTGCCAGTTCCAAAAATGGAGATTCTGTTTAAGGACAGTGGCTGCTAAGCCCTGGGGCTCTAACTAGCAGGTCATAAGACAGTACAGCACCCATGACCCTAAGACAAGGCTGATCGCTATGACTCTTCATGACCTCTCACTGTCTCTGCTTATCTTCACATGGCTGACCTGAGCCCACCCTAACAAAGCTGCCCATCCTACTCATTCTCAGTGTCCTTGGTTTTATTTTCTTCAGAGCACACATCTCTACTTCTATGTATTCTATTTCCCTTCCAGACTAGAATGTCTGTTCCCAGAAGAATGAAGATCTCATCAACCCCACTTGCCCTTGTAGGTTTGGCAATTTAAGTAACTGCACATAGACAATGTGCTTGACAGAAATGCACCAAGACTAAACAGACAGCTACACACACCCTGGGGAGCCAGTAGACAAGAGATCAGAGCAGAATCTACCAGCTATCTTGGCCAGCCATACTCCCTTTACTTCCCCCATTCTACAATTACCCCAGTTGGACAGGGGCAAGACTAAGATGTGAGCAGTGGAGTTGAAAAGGAGAGCAGGCTTTTTGATGGCACTAAATAAAACCTTGGCACTAAGATAATTTGCAGGATTCTTAAAATTCAAATGTGGGGTGGGGGTACCTGGACATTAGCAAGGTAGTTCTGCCAGCTTAATTATCCCTGGTGACACACAACTGTGAACCTCTGAAAGACAAACAGTGAAGCAAACACACACAGAGGTAAGACCAGGATGTTAACTGTGATCTGCTGAGAGACAAATGGTGAAATAAACATGTACAGAGGTAGGACTGGGGTGTTCATTTTAAGCAATGTTCATAAATCTCATTCCGGGCTATTGTTCCACTGACATTATTGCTGTTATAGCAAAGAGAGCAAGTGTGATGAAGGGTACCCTTTGCATTTATTTCTCAATGAGAGGAAGTTAGACTAGCTGTTCCATCTCATCTCACCTTGAAACATAAGAATACATGAGGTCATAACAAAAATAGCAGAATATTAATTTCAAGAGCAGGAGAGCTTTGTAGACAAAGGAGACTCATTCAAAATGCATTCATCTCTTCATGGGGGCATCACAGTACTCACTTTAAGACATGCAGACCCCATGTTCAGAGAAGGCAGTGATTAAATGAAACAAAGCCAGAAAGCTCACAGATCCCAAATGAGCAAAAAATGGGATGGTGTGGGCCATGGAGGACCAAATGCAAACTGGTAGGTTTCCTCAGTTGGACTAGAGCAGTGGTTCTTACCCTGTGGGTCATGACCCCTTTAGGGCCAAACGACCCTTTCATAGGGGTCACCGAAGACCATCTCTGTATCAGATATTTATATTACAATAAAAAAACAGTAGCAAAATTAGTTATGAAGTAGCAATGAAAACAATTTTACGGTTGGGGGTCACCAGTACATGAAGAATTGTATTAAAGGGTCAGAGCATTAGGAAGGTTGAGAACTACTGGACTAGAGTAAAGCATCTCTCCCTTTGAACAGTGAGTAAGAAAAGTGCTGGGACAGAGGGAGAGCTAGCTGGTCAGCTGGGGCTTCTGTAGGAAAGGTGACAGAAACAACACAAAAGAATACCAAGAAGCACTTTGCTAAAAATGAGTGCAATTCTAGACCACTGTTAGTGTACTATTTACCTTCTTGTGAATTTATTATCAAGCTTTCAAGTTGTAAAACTGAGTTTTCCTCACTTTACTGAAGTCACCTCTTTGGCTCAAGAGATATTCATACAAACTATGATGAATAATGTCTAAACACTGTGAATCATCCAGACATTTAAAAAATCCTTTAACACAGTTAATGATTTGCCTGTTTTTGTTCATGTGGGAATGCTGAATGTTGTTTGCCAAAGAGGAATACTAAAATGGTATTCATTATAATTAAAACCTAATTGCTAAAGAAGCCCAGAGCTATGGAATTTATGATCCTGCTACATGTTTATAAACAGGGACTCAGGAAAGAGTCAGTTAATTTACCAAGAAGTCCTTTGATTCTCCAGCACACTATAATGATCAGGACATGGTGAGTTTTGGTGCACAGGCCTCTCGTAATGGCACCTCACGGTTTTGAGAGTTCCCCTATTCCTGTGTGGGGCACAGAGTTGACCTCCACACCTGCCATTTTTGTTGCAGTAGAGCCTTGAGCATAGATAAAGTAGGAGGTCCCCAGTACCCAGACGCTGCATGTGGCTCAAAGTATAAGGATCTGTACGACAAGCTCAGCAAGTGGAATGAAATTAAGTCAGAGTTTCAAAAAACAGAAGCCCTCCTCCACTGCCCCCCAATTCTGCACCCCCAACTGAGAGTAGACAATGCCATGATCACCCTTCCACAGTTCAAATGCAAAAAAAAAGTAGTTAAGTAGAGGAATCAGCCTAAACAGGACAGGCTATTTCCTGTCTAATAAGGAAAGGTGTGTGTGTGTGTGTGTGTGTGTGTGTGAGAGAGAGTGGTGGTAGTGGGGTGCTATCTGAGAACTGTGCACAGTTGTCCTGAAGTTTGACAGCTGTCTTGTTGATACTAAGTTGATTCTACCACTCCAGTTTTGACATTAGTGCCCAGCACCATTGGCCTTCAGGCACTTAAACTTATTTTAAAAATACAGCATTAAGCATGTTTAAATCACCTTACATATCTGAAAAAGCAGAAATCTTACTGCCAGCCTGCTTGGGCATGCAGACTTGGAAAGTGAAGCTTATAGAATGGCCTGAAGGTTAGCACACTCTAGTTCTGGCAGACTGTGTGTCGAGAAGGAGCTATCCAGAGGTTCTGTGCATGAAAAATACTCGGCCTTTGGCTCCCCTAGGCTAGAACATGGGACTGTTAGCAAATATGCCCTGACAAACAACACTCATAAAGTGCTAAAATCTCTCCAATTAATATGACCCCTCAAAACCATATATAAATGAGAAACATTTAATGAACAACCCTTTCTTCACCAATAACTGCTTAAATTAAGTACAGGAAACTCTTCAAAGGGACTAAAGAAGCCCCCTTGTTAAGAAAAACCCTATATATAGATATCATGACAATTATATGATGCATGCAACCAAACATATATAATTATTCTAGTTTCTACATTCCCATTATCTTTATAAATACAGGATAAAAACCAGTCTAAATGATTTTCTGAGGACTCTTCAAGGATTACATCGAGCCAGCCACCCCTTAAAAAGTGTGTGTGTGTGTGTGTGTGTGTGTGTGTGTGTGTGTGTGTGTGTGTGTGTGCATGTGTGTGTAGTAGAGATCAAAAGCAAATGTCTGGTCAGTTCTTTTCTACTCAAGGGTTTTACCAAGAATGTGTGCAGAGACACCACAAATGACAGTTGTTCAAAGAATGGAAATTAATTGGCAGAAGGAATTTCCTTGACTAATAGGGAAAAACTCAAAGCCACATGTTTGATGAGATCGTTTTCCCATCCCTAGTCAAACACAGTCCCTGTTAGTGATGAGGATTTGCAAACAGAAGCATAAGCAAGGTAACCCTCCGCTCCCTGCCACCCTCCTCTGTGGGATGCAGACACTCTCCCATCACTGTGTTGATGGACAGTGGGACTGATGGGTGTGGCTTAAATAACACAGGGTAGAGGGTCAGCTTGTAAGTCTCCATTTTCTGTCAGAGTCAAATGGAGGCATGGTAAGACTACTCTACTTACTGTATTAAAAATAGGAACAAGTTGCTATACTCCTCCCCCATGGTAAGCCATCTGCTTTTAGCTGTTTTTCCAGCAGTGAGGATGGATTTATGCTCTCTCTGACACAGGGCTCTAAAGTTGTTGCCTTGTGACCAATGGTGAGAATGGATGAGGCAGCTGGTCAGGATTAAGCAAGCAGTTGTAGCCCTGGGACCAGGTTTTGTTGCTGTGTGCAGAGCCTGATGCCATGACCTTGGACTCATTAGCAGCAAGCTCTCATCACCCAAGCTAACAGCCACTGAGTAACCATGACCCCACATATATCACTCTAGGATGCAGGGTATTCCCAGTCCCAGCCATGTTACTTATAGGTTCATGGTAATAGGTTAATAGGTAATAGGGAGGAGGGCCTACTTGAAAACCATCCCCTGAAGGTAGCAGTAAGAGACCCAGGAGTGAACAAGAAACCCTTTCCTTCCATCCTAAGCAAATGGCACTGCTGATAGAGTTTAAGAAAAACATCCCTCTAGTGGTTCCCCAGACTTTTGAAGCATGTGTTCCACATGCCATGCTGAGAAGCATACCTGGCCATTCCCAGACTTGGGAAGTTGGCAGGGACAATGAGTATGTCCAGCCGGGAGAAAGGGTGTGTTCCTAGGACAGAGTGCGCAGCTGAGAGGCAAGGAGGGATCAGCCACAGCAGGGCCTCTTGGCAGGCACCCTCAAGGCACAGTGGGGCAAACACCCGATGAGGAATGATCTTCTGGGTGGCAGCAGAAGCATTCTGGAATCGGCAGGGGTATTCTACATGACTGCAGGTTTCAGCATACCTGAGACAACACATAAGAAGAGATGTAGACAACTTTGAGAAGACAGTGGTTCAAACAGGCTTATTAGCAAAGGTGGTTCATTTTAATTATTGGCTTGTGTGCTTTTGGATAACGGTGAAAAAGACAGATCAAAATATTTATCGATGTGCTTGAAGCAACTTCAACCTAAGCTACATGAAAGCAAAAAGACCTTGTTTTAGAATTAATGGGAGTGGGGTGGGTTGGGGAGGAGGCAAGATTTAGAGCAAGAAAACAATCTCCCACCCAGATTAAAGCAAATTCTACCCTCAGTAATGTACTTTCAAGTGCTACCATAGAAAAACTATGACAATTCTTAGAAAGGGAGCAATGTAATAGACATTTTATTTATTTAATTTTCATTGTTTGAGATCTCATGTATTCTGGAGAGCTTTGAACTCATGATGTAGCCAAGGCTGCCTGGAACTTCTGATTCTTCTGCATCTACCTCTCCAGTGCTGGGATTACAAGTATAAGCCACTTTGTACCTGGCTCTAAGCAAATTAAAGATTCCATTCTGGAATATCCTACAACAAATGACTTGGGATGAGGTAGGACAAAGTCAGTTACAGGTACAGTTTTCAAAAAAACACAAACCATCCTACCAAAAAATAATCTAGGCATCCTTCACCAAACTTATCAGAAGCTGTTGCTGAGAAAAACAGAGGCACTTCTAAGGGTGTTTTCTTCACTACACCTTCTGGGTGTGTGAGACAGGGTCACATGCATCCTAGGCTCACCTCTGCTGACAATGGCCTTGAGCTTCTGATCATCCTGCCTCTACCTCTTGTGTGCTGCAATTACTGGCATATGCCTGGTTTATATGGTGCTGGGAATTGAACCCAGGGCTTCCTGCATGTTAGGCAAGTACTCTACCAACTGAGCTATATCTCCAATTCTTTTCCAATACACTTTCAGTATAAAATCAATGAAACTAGCCTTCTAAGGAAGCAAACCGGAGCTCACTCAGAGCCATCTGACTAGTTACTCTCTGAAAGACAAAGGCGGAGTCGAAAGAAAATTCCTAGGGCCTGACTCACAGGCCTCAAGAGAACTTATATATCCAAAGAAACCAACATCAAAGAGAATTCTGTTTTTTCATCTGTTAACATGCCCTCAATTCAGACACAATGGAAAACCCCTGTAACTTTAAATTGCAGATTATAATTCTAGCTGTGGGTGCTCCTGTGATTCACCACGAATACTGAGGACTCTCTAAATGCTTGCCTGCCTCAATTTGGGCAGGTTGCAACAAGAATTCCTCTTTAGATTTATGAAGTATCTGCCACCCACCGAAGGCCTGTGATCAAGAGATCCACACGGCTATGTAAACAAGCCTTACCTTTCTCCAAGCCTCACTTTCAAGAATACACTGTCTAGGCCCAGTGAGACCGGGTTATGGTTGAGAGTGGGTTAGAAAAACTGCCAGTATAAAGCAACATAGTGATAAAGTCACTGACACTGAACTTGAGTCAAAGTCCTGGACTGATAACATTACCTTACCAGGAACGAAAGCAAACGTGTCTTCTTGTAAACATTCAACACCTACATAATGGTGACAAGCAGAAGCTGCTTACCTAGTCAGCCTCTATGGGACTTTTAAAAATGCATTTACATAGGAAAACAGCATCCTGTGGTATTTTAGCTCACATACTCTCCACTCAAGAGCTTTTACAAACTGACAATGGTGGTATATGCCCATAAGTCTGTAACCAACACTGGGAAGGTAGAGAGACAGGACAATCAGGAGTTCAAGGCAAGTGTGGGCTACATGAAACCCTGCCTCAAAAAGCCATCCCCCGCCAAAGGCTTTCAGAAGCCAAGTGTGGGAAGAGCACATACTAGGGAGTCTGGGGCAAGAGTGCCGTGGATTTGACACCAGCCTGGACTACAATCACGAGTTCTAGGTCAGCTCAGGCTACACATCAAGATCCTGTCTCAAAAAACTGAAAAGGGTCCTTCAAAGCATGTTACCTAAAGCTGGAACTCCAGACAGAGCAAAGCAGTAAGTTTAAGAACTAAACATCATAATGCTGCAATATAGAGAGGCATTCTATCTAGAAACTGTCTATTCCCAAGGAGTGAGACTATTTCTTACACTTAAGAAAACCAGAGGTGAAGGAACAGAGTGAAGATGTCAATGATACACCAAACAAGCATTTGTTCAAGGAAAAAGGTAAATTATTTTCTTTCCAGGCATATATGACACTTGCCAAACTAGTGAAAATGATTACTACTAGATACATGACTTAATACTGTTTTCCATAAAATTCAGGACTTAAAGGCAATCAAGCTATCAGAACACTAAGTCAGTGAGGCTCCTGGTAGTGATAGAAATGTATGTGGCGGGCGGGGGGGGGGGTTGCCACTGTAAGTTCCTGTGTAAGGACCAGTACACTGGGTTCAGTGGCTATGCTTAGATTGGCTATGACCAAGGCAAAGACATCAGCATTTGATGCCTCTTTCTCTCCATCCCTCCTATGGTCTCACCAATGCAGCTGCCCAAAGAGAAGAGGACAGATTAGGAAGGGCAGGAGGGAACTCTGACATGACAGAATGTTCTCAATCAGGTTGTATACACAGTGGACTGAAGCAACCTCCAGTATGTCACAGTGGATGTCAATCATCTACTGAAATGCTTCCTAAGGTTTCTTCTTGCAAAGATGACTCTGGTGTTTGCTTCATGGCCCCATTCATGCAGCAGCTAAGGAGATGCCAGGGCTTGTGTAATCAACAGTTAGCACAGACCCAGTGGCAACTGGAGATTCTTTTCTTCCTTTCGTGGTAGCTTTCCCTCAGCTTTTATAATTCTCAAGACAGGCTTATCCCACCCTTTCTTCTTTTCTGCAGAATGAGTCATCTCAATGTCTTTAACATGGTGCCAGTTTTTCAATGCCTTTAATCACTTTCGTTGTGTTCTACTGGAGGTTATCCAAGCTTCCATGCCAAGCTTAAGCTGTATGACCCAAGATGAAGGCCTGAGAGGTTAAACACAAAACAAGACTCTCCTGTGGCTAGAACCAAATAAAAACAATGCATGTTGAACTGTTTATATGACTGTCTTTAGCCTATGTGTTTACTAAAATGTTCATTCCAAGTGGACTGTAAGAGTGCCCCCCCACCCCACCATAATTTAGCTCCTGTGAACAATGATCAAAAGTTCAATAACCAACCTTCCAGCTAAATTTCTGGACCTAGATGAACACTTACACAAACGAAAGCCATGATATATAAGGCTTCTGTAAACATTAGATTGACATGAATGAAATTGGTGGGAAGGAGGGCTGGGAAGGCAGGCCTCATCAGATGTAAGCATGGCCAGAAACACCATCATGGTATGATGGCACAATAGAGCTAGCTGTTCAACCCATGAAGTCAGGCATGTAGTAGATAAACAGAACCACTCTAACTACCAGAGATGGTCATATGAGGCACGATGGCATGCCAGAATTGAAAAATCTAAGTTATTGTTTTATTAGCTGTATATTTCTGATGGACAAGCATATAGATAGACAAAAGGAAACTGTGCACTGATAGTCATGGACAGGAGTGTGGAGGAGTTCAATCACAACACCACCCTACTTCAACCCTCGCACAAAACAACACAGCACAAAATTCCTGGAAGTTTTCCAACAAAGCAACCACTCCCCTAGCTTCCCTGATTGGCTGGCCTTTTGGCAACTGCTTGTCCAATGAGTATCTTCTGGGGTCTGCTGTCTGGCCTGTTACCCTGAGCATCAGTGTAGCAGTCGACCTGGTTGGTAGCTGACCTGGAAAGGTTAGAAATCCTGGCATCCGTGTACCCTCTCAGCCCAACCTGTCAGTGACCAGACCTTTGCCTTCACTTCCTTCTGTGTGCTCGTCACCTGGTCCCGAACACACAAGGGCAAAAGAAGAGCAGGATTTACCTTCCCCAGGTCCCAACAGGGGCTTTCACATCTTCTTTTTCCCAGTTCCCCCATCTGACCTGGCCATGTTCTCTTCTGTTCACAATGGTAGAGACAAATGAAAAGGGATTCCAGTTATTCTGAGCAGGAGGCCCCAACTCAACCTCATCTCTTGGCCTTCATCTCCTAACAATAAACAAGCTCTGAGACTACAAGTTAACAACAGAGAACTTCTTCACCATTGAGAATTCATGAACAACGTCTTCATTTTACAAAAAAAAAAAAAAAAAAGTGTGGGTCTGCCACAGTGCCATATCCAGGCAGTGAGGACAGGACAGCATTCTCAGGCTCAAGGGAACATCAATTTGTGTTTTCTTTCTTTTTCAAAAACTACATTTATTTTGTGTATGTGACAACAAGAGGTTCATGCAGAGGTCAGAGAATAACTTTTAAGAGTTGGCTCTCTCCTTACAATATGTGCGTTCTAGGGACTGAACTCAGGCCATCAGGTTTGACAGCAAGAGCCTTTACACTGAACTGCCTCCCACCTCTCAACTTGTTTTTCTAAAGATGCTCTCCAGTTAGTATCAATAGCTAAGTCATGGTGGTGACTCTAGGTGAGAAGATGGCTGCAAGGTACTTTCTGAGGTGGCTCAGTTGTCACATTAAGGTTTTAAACGTCTCTAGAAAAGATTCTAAGTCACCTCTCTAGAGATTAGACCTGAAATGAATGAATACAGGTACTCAGTAGGTAGGAAAATAAATGAATTATTGTCCGAGTCTCTTTATCCTCACATATAACTGAGAGTAACAGAGACAGCACATCTTACAGACTACACAGATAGCCAATGGCTTCTGTGTGGGTTCAGGATCAGCTAGGACATGCTACAGTCACGAACCCTGCAGCACACACCAGTGCTTTACCACAAGAAGATGCATTTCTTGCTCATTACCAAGTCAAAGTTGTTCTCTAGGGCACTTGTCTTCTTCACTCAGAAATTTGGGCTATTTACAATTACAAAATGAAGTCTGCTGTGTGGTTCCAGAGCAAGGGAAGGGAACACTAGAGAGTCTCACTTGCAATATTCCCACACGAGAGCAGTGTATGCCACTCTGTCCACAATTCCTTCTTCCCTTGAGAGAATGCAAGTAAAATCTAATAATCTTTCCTGAGCTATATAAAGTAGAGCCATCAGGACGGACACTCCGAAACTGACATATTATTGGGCAAAAAGTAGAAAATAGTTCTATGCTGCCAAAAAGGCAACATGTAGGCAGTAAGATGTGCTTGTTAGAAGAGAAACCACGTGGTGTCAGTTCCTAAGGACACCACCACAGCCACTGTGGTGATAATACAAGCAACATAGCGAAGAGAGACCAGCACAAAAGAAATGCACCCAAAATGTCTTGGTTTCTTTTTCTGTATTGTTTGAGACAGGGTCTCATACAGGGCTGGCCTTGAACTTGCCTCTACCCCCTAAATGCTAGGATCACATGTATGGCCCCACACCCAGTTTATGTGGCGCTGAAAGTGGAAGCCAGGGCTTCATGCCTGGTAAGGACTCTACCAACACATCTGCATCCCGTCACTCTCACTCTCATTTCAGTTGAGATGAGCATCTGCACAATCCTTCTGGATTGTCTCTATGCAACAGCCCGTATCAGTTTCTACAAATCTGAACTTGATTTTTTTCCTGCTTTAAAAAAACAAAACAAAAACAAAAACAGGAGGCTGGACTGATGTGTCAGTGATTAAGAGCGCTGGCTGCTCTTCCAGAGGTCCTGAGTTTAATTCCCAGCAACAACTTGGTGGCTCACAGCCATCTACAGTGGGCTCTGATGTCCTCTCTGGCATAAGGTTGCACATGCAGATAGAGCACTCATATACACAAAATCAATAAATAAATCTTTAAAAACAACAACAACAAAGCTAACAAGGCCTTGGCTCAGCAGGATCCCTTAACCCAAGGACTATATGAGTTTCCTTGTGACCAATGCTCCTAGGGATCAGTGAGCGCCACTGAAGAGGCTGCCCCACAATATACCACCAACAGGCATCACAGGACCCAGCAGTCAGTGCCCTCCCCAGGGTCAGCTAGAAGAATCCTGTCACTGCCCACTTTCATTCCACTGCACCCTTCTTTTACTGCATCCTTCCTATCACTGCATCCTTCCTTTCACTGCACCCTTCCTTTCACTGCACCCTTCCTTTCACTGCATCCTTCCTTTCACTGCACCTTCCTTTCACTGCACCTTCCTTTCACTGCGCCCTTCCTTTCACTGCACCCTTCCATTCACTGCACACCTTCCTTTCACTGCGCCCTTCCTTTCACTGCACCCTTCCTCTCACTGCACCCTTCCTTTCACTGCACCCTTCTTTTCACTGCACCCTTCTTTTCACTGCACCTTCCTTTCTCTGCACCCTTCTTTTCACTGCACACCTTTGCTTTATTAAGCCATTTTTGACCAGGCAGTAAGACTGGTAAGATCTAAATAATAGGAAGGAAAGTCTTCAATCTGCAGCTTTTTAATTTGAACAAACATGTAGAAATTCTTCTCCTGATATCACAGAGCATTTCACATCTACTTGCTTTCTTCTCTTTCTTCATGAACAACAAAGCCAACTCTCTATTTTCCAGTAGACCTTTCCATACTTTGATTAGGTCCATTCTGGCTCATTTTCTCAACAAGGATGACTCACATTCCCAGAGTGAAATCAGAAAACTCCCAAACACAAACCTGAAGTCAGCTTTCGAAAGCGGGAGAGGGCGCTCAGTCACCAGATCATCTGATCGGGATGTCTTGGGCTTTATTTCTGTCCAGTATCCCACTGCAATTGTGAAGGTGGAGGCTGGCATTGGCATGGTCACGTAGTAATACCAGCTCATGCACCCTATAAACAGAGAGCAATTGTCATTCATGAGGCACTGTGTGGCTCTGGACCTTACTCAACTCTAGTTCTTCTCTCAGTCACTTGCAGAGCCTGTGACACAAACTGGCAACAGCTCCTCCTTGAGGCAAGCCATGTCACCTGAAGGGGCACGACTGCAGGCCTCAGAGAACGTACAGGAGAGATGCTAGTTTGAGGGCAGCCAAGGAGGCCTGGGTCTCTTCCAGAGATCCATGTGAAGCAATCAGCAAGGCTAACTCTAAAGGGTGGTGCTAAGGTGGCCACTCAGCTGCAAACACAGAAGGCTGTGACCTTGGGCTGTCACAGGTACAGGAACACATCCTTCTCTTCCTCCACGCCTGGCATGAAAAAGGAAACATAGCTGATATTTGATGAAAAAATGAATAAATAAGGAATGATCATTTCTGTGCTGTAATCCAACTATTTTGTCTAAATTCAATTGAGATCACTCTAAGATGGATACAGCAGGAAACTGCAATTATGGAAAGGAAGTGCCTAGGTTTTAGCCCTGACTTTACAACCAATTAGCTGTGGAACTGTGGGTCTTACTTTCATCCTTCTAAGTATTTAGTTGATCACCCTCTCATCCCTGAGCACATGCAAAGCTGAAGTAGCAAGTTTGTGGCACCAAGCACTCCCACCCCAGCTCAGAATGTATTCTCTAGTTGGTCCAGACATTAAAGAAGGCTTTACTCAAATAAATGATAGATAATTTATAATCCTAGGTCTCTCTCACTTCAAAAATGAAGAAGTAAACTTCCTGTTTCTGAAATTTGGACACAGCATCAGATTCAGCATGACATTCTTATAGAAGTGTGTGTCTGCTATAAACTGATATTCACAGAGTCAGGCATGGTAGTGAGTAATCCTTGGCTACACAGCAAGCTTAGCAAGTTTGAAAATAGCCTGGGATACATGAGACTTCCTCTCAGGAGTTAGGGATTCCCCCCCCCCCCACACACACACACGTGGAATATTGCTTTATACTGTGTGAATATATATATATATATATATATATATATATATATATATATATATATATATTGGCTTAATAAAAAAGCTTAATAAAGAAGCTGACTGGCTAATAGAGAATAAGGTTAGGTGGGAGGGCCAAACATAATACTGGGGGGAAGAAGGACAGAGTCTGAAGAGTATCAAGAGATGCTGAGAGAAGCAAAGATGGGCATGCCATACTGAGAAAAGGTACCAAGCCACATGGCAAAGTGTAGATAAAAATATGTGTTAGTGGGAAATGTAAGAATTAGCATGTGGTGATATTTTGTTTGTACTCTAACAAATAAAGTTTGCCTGAAGATCAGAAGACAGAGCCAGCCACTAGATTAAACATAGAGGCCAGGCAGTGGTGGCACACACCTTTAATCATAGGACTTGGGAGGCAGAGATCCATCTGGATCTCTATGAGTTCAAAGCCACCCTGGACTACATGAGATTAATCCAGTGTAAAAGAGAGACAGAGCCAGACAGTGGTGGCACACACCTTTAATACTTTTGAGTCATATGCCTTTAATCTCAGCAATAGGAAGGTTGAGACAGGAAGTAATAGGGCTGGGTAGAGAAAGGAATATAAGGCAGAGGGAGAGAGGAGTTCGGCACCCTCTTCAGCTGAGGACCCAGAGGCATTCAGTCTGAGCATTCGTTGAGACCGGATCTCGCCTCCGTTTCAGCCTGAGGATTCAGTAGTGGTGAGAAGTTTCTCCAGTGGCTTGTTCCTTGGTTTCTCTGATCTTTTAGCATTTACCCCAATATCTGGCTCTGGGTTTTTAATTATAAGGCCAATTAGGATTTGTGCTACACTAGTTAGTAACAAGTCTGAGTTATTGGCCGAGCATTTATAATTAATATTAAGCCTGTGTGTTTATTTGAGCACCTACTGTGGGGCAACTACATCCACATAAAACCTGAGAGAGCTTAGGAAAGGGTTCTAGACACACAGAAATAGGGCAAGAGTGGCTTCCTAGTCTCATGTCTCTCATGCTGGCTGTGGCACAGGGATGCATCTCCTGGCCAATGCCTGTGGGCTTGAGCCACCAGCAAGCCATGATATAAGCCACATGGCAGGGTCTCTCATGCTGGCTGCAGTACAGAAAAGTGTCTTCTGGTAGCTGCCTGCAGGAGGGAGCCAGCCACCAAAACAGAGGCAGAGTCCTAGCAGTTTAAAGGCTCATGCGGTCAGAAAAAGATTACAGAGACACAGTGAAGACAGATTCAGACAGAAAAACAACAACAACAACAAAACACCTCTAATTGGGTTACAGTGTGTTTAAAAATATACATAGGCTTGAGAGAGAAAGAAGAAGTATATACAGTCATAGATTAGAATATATAGTTTTAAAATAATAAAGTCCTTAAAAAGGGAGTAAAGAAATATAGAAGAAAAAAGTCACATAAAGATGGAAAATACACAGAGTCTGGATACTATATGCTATTGGGTTGTCTTTGAAATTTTTGACTGCTGAAGAAGTGATAGCTGCTAAGACACACTTGACTATGAAAGCTGCTAAATTAAACCAAACTATATATATTTAAAATGTCTAAACTTCAAAATAGAAGTCAAAAGATATATTACTTTGGGGAAAGAGGTTATGCTTTTATTTCCACAGGAAATGAAAGGCTGTGGATTCGTTTAAGGTTAAGATGATCAGGTTTGATCAAGGAAGACCCTCTGAAATCTTGGCTACAGGCATAAAGAAATAAATGTAGAAAAACTATAAAACACATAATATATATTTTACCTGTTCAAACATAAAACAAAAAATCATCTTCGGCTGACTTGTGTACAATGTATAGTCTATACTTGTATTGATGCAGATATGTATGTTACCTTTAGAGTTTATGTATTTTCAGAACAAGGGACCAGACACCAATAAAAACAGATGGCCTAGGTGATCCAGTATCCAGAACAGCTTCAAGGCTGCTGACTGAGATGATCCAGTCTCACAAAATACTACAGCCAAGACTTAACCATTATCCTAAATTTTCTCAGGGTCCAAAGGTTACCAGCACCCCCAAACAACAGGAGGTAGTCTAGAGAACAATGCTCACATTCCCAAAATATTGGTTATGGATGTTTGCTATCATATAATGGAGTTGGTTACACGTTGTTATTGATAATAGTAAAACAACAACTAAACAAAGGCAATTAGGTCTCAGCAATCTCGTTCGGAAAAGAAAAAGAGGATATAGAATAGATAGGATAAGAGAGTAGATTATTGAATCTACTTTTAAACCAAAAACAACTACTAGTCTTAAATATTTTATATTGGTATGGATTTTGGTATATAGATATAAATTTAAAGTTATTTTTGTTACACTGAAGGTATGTTTCTACTCTTATTTAAGATATTGTGCCTATGTAGCTCATTTAAAAATGTAATGTATAATAAGAAATATAGATTAATATTTATCTATAATAGTCAAACTTATAGTCATATTAGGTATGTTTTCAAGGTCATACACAGATATAGTTAGATGGTCTTCAAATACTTCAAAGACCTACAGAATATGGCATTTAATATGTTTAATAACCTAAGGCTTTTCATGACAGCGAGGCATGTCTGCTCTTGACACCACCAATCTACTTCAAAAAAGGTGATGGGCATCAAGGAACCTCCATATGGAGTTTGCTTTCTTTATGGCAAAAGCTAGCCATGTGGGCAAAGAAACTGCCCTTGCCTCAACTACTGACAGGATGCTGCCTAAACTGGACCAGCAGGATGCAAAAGAAAATGACTGCCAAACGTTGCCAAGACAAGGTATGACACTCATTCAAAATTCCCTGCTTCTCAGAATGTCTGTCAGATATACCAGGCCAAAGTTAGATGCCCCAATGTCACAAAGGAACCTAGGGTGACTGTCCAGGCAGCCAAATGTTCTTGTCATTAGGCAACATCTCACCCTTTTGGGGTCCTTGACAGAGTTAAAAACTAGATAGTCATAGTTAATGTTTTCCTTAGTTATGATAAAAGGTAAATTAGGTATAAAACTTTAGACTCACAAAGATAAAATAGATAAAATATTTTTTCTTTAATTTTGGGAAATACAAATGGACTAGATATTGTAACTGTAATTTTACTTGATAACTGTCTTTGTTGTATATACTTTTACTATGTTAAAGTTAAAATCTTCCTTTTTAATTAGACAAAAAGGAGGAAATGTAGAATAAATATATTTTACACTATGTAAGTATATGTCATTGTGATTGGTTTAATAAAGAAGCTGACTGGCCAATTGCTGAACAGAATAAGGTTAGGCAAGAGAGTCAAACTGATAATACTGGGGGGAAGAAGAACAGAGTATGATGAGTGTTGAGAGATACAGAGAAAAGCAAGATGGACATGCCGTATTGAGAAAAGGTACCAAGCTACGTAGCAAAGTGTAGATAAAAATATGGGCTAACTGAAAATGTAAGAGTTAGCTAGTAATAAGTCTGAGATATTGGCTGATCATTTATAATTAATATTAAGCTTCTATGTGTTTATTTGGGAGCTGCTGGCAGGACAAAAACTTCCATCAACACACACATACATACATACATACACACATACACACACACACACACACACACACACCCCACATATACACCCCACACACAATTTTTTAAAGATGTATTTAGTTTATGTGTGTATATCTAGTTACAACAGAGATCAGAAGAAGATATCAAATCCCTTGAAACCGGAGTTACAGATGGCTGAGAGCCACCATGTCAGTGCTGGGAATCAAACCCAGGCCCTCTGCAAGAGCAACAGGTGTTCTTAAGCACTGAATCATCTCTCCAGCCCTTTATATGAGTTATATATTTATATGATTGTTTTTGAAAAGCTTTGACTTAAAAAGAAAAAAAAATCCCAAATCTAAATCCAAGGGCTAGAGCTAGTCACTACCTACAGTATTCTTTTGAGAATTTACTATGGATAACTGGGGCTTTGCTTTAAAAAAGAATCCAAACCATAGCAGCTAGGGAT